TTGGTTTAAAGGACTAATACAAAAGTGCAAGCAAAGAGGCTGTCTAGGGGTTATTTTGCCCTCAAATTGGAGGTCTCTGCTTCTGAAGCAGAGCTCTCTTGGTGTGGCTTGGCAGGTCCTGTGGACAGAGAGGACAGCCATGTAAAGGAGAGTTCCTTCAAAACCCCAAAACAAATTTAGCCATCCATTTGGCCACAGCCTGGGTCCTGAGAAGGTGAAAAGTCTCTCTGTGAAGAGTGAAGACACAGAGGACAGCTGCACGTTCATGACAACCTCCTGTTACAAAGAACCAAAACAAGGAGAAACAGAAGTGGTTCAAGGAATCAGATACTCTGAAGCAACAAACCCACAAATCAATATGGGATTCCTGTTGCCCAGGGACTTGTACCTGAAAGTAATTTAAATAAGACAGGAACTCCTAAGCCACCAGAAATTAGCTCAGGCACTACGAACTGTGCATGCTACCTAAGGAATCCATTTTGTAGCACATGGATTCTTCGAAAGAGCCCCATGTGAGGCCACAATGTCATATCTTCTTATATTTTCCCTGCCGAATAAAGCAAATTACTTTGTAAAAGTCTTGCAGATGCTCTTACTTTTAAAGTATTTCAGGAGACAGCTTGAAGTTTGAGTCTTTCAGGTAAATGGGAAGCCTGCCTGTTAATCTTTCTTTCACATGGCAAGGAGTATGGAGAGTAAGTGGAAGTTGCTATCTCAAAGCTAAAATTTACCTGTGTAAAATCTGTTTCATTTCCTATTGAGTTGTTTTAGGCTATGAAGGGTTAAGTTATGGAGCAAATCTAATGCTGCAGAAAAAACCCACATGAGATCTTTTTAGAGGTGCATATGTCTATGCAGTGTGATGCATCTGCAAACCATACTGAATTACCTGATTGGAAAGTGCAAAAAATCAAAGGCAGCCTGCAGTGAGAAAAAGACCCTGGGTAGAATCCATCTGCCAGTGAAGCAATTAAAAAGATGGACTTCTTAGAACAGCAGTGATTGTCATTTGTGTATGACACTCAGTGGGCTATGATTTCCTCAGATAATACTCATGCACCTGGTGAAGACCGTGTGATGATCACTATGTAGCCCACTACATTTTCAATAGTTAGCACTAGTTTAATCCCAAGATAAGATATTTAACTGGTGTGAAAGAGAGTAAGGGTTCATTCTCCACACAGAGAATAGGGCAGAAAGACTAGCTTGTGTGTTTTTTATTTCCTGTAAATGTGTTTCTCAGAAGGTTTGTGGACATGTATCTCCCTCCTCTGGTGCACAATGAAGTAACACCCTGATGGTTTTGTTCTGGCAAAAAAAAAGAAATTTGGGAAAGAGTCCTTAGTGAAGGAGTGCAAATACTCAGTACTTCTCACGGGAGATTATATATTTCCTTTGCTGCTTCATTTCATTATAGTATCATCATATAATATAAATATAATAGCTGTCCTCTGCACCTGGGCACCTTGTATTCATTGATAGTTTCCTCTAGATAGTTCAGCCCTGATTTGATGCCAAATCTCCGTGAAAGTCAAAGAAAACATCCCCCTCCTGATAACTGACACTGGCAAACTGGTAACAATGGATGAGAAGGAGGCTAAGGTTCTCAACAATTTTTTTGTCTCAGTCTTCACTGGCAAACTCTTTTCCCACATATCTGGAACAGATGGATGGCACGGCAGAACTGGGGGAGCAAAGTCCCTTCCTCTGTAAGAGAAGATCAGTTGCACGATTGATTACCTGAGGAACCTGAATATACGCAAGTCTTATGTGACCTGATGAGATGCATCCCAGAGTCCTGAGGGAATTAGCTGATGTAGCTGCCAAGGCACTCTCCATGATCCTTGAGAAGTCATGGCAGTCAGGCTCCTGAGTGGAAAAAGGGAAACATTTAACCCATTTTTGTCCAGGGTAGAAAGGACCCTGGGAACACTGGCACAGGTTGCCCAGAGAGGCGATAGATGCCCCACCCCTGAAAACATTCAAGGTCAGGTTTGACGGGGGTCTGAGCTACCTGATCTATTTGATGACATCCGTGGTCACTGCAAAGGGGCTGGACCAGGTAATCAGCTAGAAAGGAACTGATCTGAGAAGGGAGTAGCAAGATATCCCTGTTGACATCCATCTGTAGCAAAGCAGGTATTTCCTCATAGGTGGGCAGAAAACTGCTTGCTGTTCCTCCAAGTGTTGCTGTGATCTCCAGCCCCACTGGTGAGAGTACTGGTGCCTTTCTTTTATTACCAGAGGTGCTCTAAGAGGCTGTTGTGGTTTGCTGTCACCCACACCTGGATATTAACCAAGTGCTTGGAGAAGGAAGGCTCATCTGCTTGAAGTCTGGAGTGACTTTTGCCTAAGCAAGACTACTCAAGATAGTGCAGAAAATTCAGATTAGAGGAGAAATCCTTCTGGTACAGACTTCTTTATTCTTTGTCACAGTTAAGGGAGCTATCTTCAAAGGAAGCAATGTCCCCCCCACACACATCCTTTTCCTGGATAAATCCATATCATTCAACAGCTTCCAAAGAAACAGCTATTTTAAGAACAGAAATGTCTCACCCCCTTTTACAACTTGATTTTTAAGTTATTCTGACACTAGTTTGTCTATGTGCCAGACTAACATGAGACAAAAGAATAAACAGATCACTATATAACTGAAAGAAGGCATTAACCCAAATGTACTTTAAAACAGGATAGGCTTGTCAGTACTTCAACTAAGATTTCCTTCTGGATACTCCATCTTGTAACTACAGCAGCACATCCCCTCTGTTACAATGGGGGTGTATTTAACACAACCCCTCACAAGACTACAGCCAGTCTTATGAGCACTTGCACAATGTAAAACTGGCAATTGCTTTAAAATTTTGAGACATTTAAATGATCTTTCTGGAGGGACTGCTTCTTCCCTAATCTTTCACTGCCAGCTAAACAAACAGGAGCTGCAGCCAGAGCTTGCTGTGCTGTCAGTGATATTCTGACACATTGGACTAACATCAGGAACTGTCCTGATCTGCACCACTGCCAGCAATGGGGCTCTGCTCTCTGCCTCTGAAACTGCTGATTAATAAAAGCCCGACCTCATCCACGTCCCTTAACTCCTGTCTAGCTAACGCCAAGTGTTTCTTCTGATCAGCTAGAAGACAAGTCTGGGAAAACAGGTTGCTTCTGCTTCTTGGAAGTCTGCTCCTGACTTGAGCAAAGCTATGCTACAGACTCACAGCAAGAAAATCCTGACCCAGTTCTTCACACAAGCTGGTGTGGTTGGGATCAGGACTTTCAAAGGCTTCACAGGAGGACTTAAGTGACGCAGGCTATGTGCAAGCCCTCAGAGAAGAAAGGCTCAGTGGGCTTCAGTGCTTGCTAACAGGAAAAGAACAGAAAAGCTTTATATTATCCACACTTTCACAGAAGCACAGAGCTGCCAAAGAGCTACTGAGCTCAAATGGCCTCACAGAACTCCCTCTCTCTGTATCATGACTGCTCAGCTAACCATGTCAGTGGTACAGTGCCTTATACATGGTGATCTGCAGGATAGGAGTATGCTGCTCAGCTAAGCGCAGCCATCCTCTGGGAGCTACAACACTCAAATGAGCCTGAGTGTTGCCTGAAGTAATCACATCTCACAGTGGGGAAGGCACAAGCAACAGTTCTATTCACTCTTTCGACTTTTACTTGGTTACACAGAAGGATTCTGATTCAACTTTACCCCTTGAACACAACGGGATTCTAATCCTCCAGGCTTTAATAATTTCAAGTAAAAATGTTATTCACCCAGTATTCTGGAGTCATACTGGATTCACGGGCTGGCTTGACCATGACAAAAAAGTAGATGGAAACTGGAATATTTGGATAATGACTCAGCAGTGTTCAGAGTGAGGGTTGCTAATTATGGTGGAGAGGATGTGTGATAAAAATTCAGACTCAGTGGGGTGTTGCAGTACACTAATGAGATTGTGAAGGCTGAACATCTTGCTAACAGAAAGTTAGAAACTGATACAGGGTTGGTATATTTTTGGTTGAAAATATAGAAACATATAACCTCAACACGAGCCCTCACAATAATAAAACAAACTAAGCTTCTGTACATGGGCAGCTTTTGAGAAAATAATTAAGAATTAGAAGAGGCACCTAATAATAAAAGAGGAAATTCAGAAACATGGAATATCATCCTAAAACTTAATGCTCACCTATGCCTTTATTGCTTTCAAAATAAAATGGCAGCCATGATAATTTGAAATAGAACCCTGTGTGCACCCAACACTTAGAAATACAGTTGCTTCACTAACTGCAGGTGATGCAAGAGTGCAAGGCAGAGTGATTTTAAGTGACTGAAATTGCATTAAAAATATCTGCAAACCATTTCCCAGCCTTTAAAGCTGTAGAGTTTGTACAGCACTTCAGTGCTGCTCCTGGACTAAAACAGAGGGTTCATTCTTGCATGGAGCCGTTGAGTCATGGATATGAAACACTACATGTTCATATGTGGTTGAAGAGGTCCTGGTTTTCTCCTCCAAGCTCTGCAGTGAGTGGATTCAGTGTGCTCCTATTTGCTGTAGATTTACTTGCGTGTGCTGGTGGAAAAGCACTGGGCTCCAGCAGCATCCAAAATGTACAGAAAGCTGCGTTCACACTGTCATCTCTTGTTAACCACACATACCGTGGTCTCAAAGTCAGGGAAAGGAGGCTGAAGCACAGAGCTTGAACACACAGGACCCCACATACTCCTCCTCTGTCAGCACACACTCCCCATTCCATTTCTAGTCTTTATATGGGCACCAGTGTCCACGCTGCGAGGCCTCTTTCGGGCTAGAGGGAAGGGAAGCACAAAGGAAGGGAAAAAAAGGAGGTAATAAACTGTGAGGGGTGAGAGGTTGGGATCTCCTTCCCACAGAACCGCGAGGTTCCCAGTGGAAAAGCCAGTGAACGGCTGGAATACCCGCGGCGCACCCCCGCCGGCCTGGCTAGCAGCGCGCCCCCCCGCGGCCGCCACCCGCCGCTGCTCCCCTGCGGCGCCGAGCTGCTGGGGCTGCGGGGCCGACGGGGGAGAGGCCCGGGCCCGGGCCGAGTCTTCCCGCTCACCTCTGCCCGGCTGCTGCAGGCTGCAGCCGCACTGGGCAGGTCCGCTCCTGCCTCTCCCCCTGCCAGGCCGCTGGAGGAGGCAATGAACTGCTCCACCGCAGCAAAGGTCTTTGCAGCCTCACAGCGCACAACTTGCCTCGCACACCCCTTCCCCGAAGGGCCATGCATAGCTGAGGCCACATCCTGACTGATCCACACGCTGATCCACAATCCTTCTGCCAACAGCAGATGGGGGACAGGAGGAAGCAGACAGGAAAGGTGACAGATCCAGGTATCAAAATGATGGGCGTTTCTCTCCCTGCTGATCCGTCTGGATCAAAACTCTTCTGCTGTCTTTAAAGGCCCACAGGGAGGTAACCAGCAGCAGCCCATGGATTTTGGTATGTGCTTCACCTCAGTTTTGGGCCATGCATGTAACTGCACTGCTGCTAAGAAGAAGGGGCTTGAGTTACATATCTGGAGGGAAAACTGTGGGTCCTTTCTAGCAAATCACCTACTGGGATGTGCTGCTACACACAGTGGGCTGCAGCCCTCTGTTCAACATGGGCAGCTTGTGAGCATGTGGGAAAAAAGTCTGGAGATGCCTCATCTGCTGAGATCCCATTCAGCCTCTCCCCAGGGTCCCAAGGAATTTAATGCATTTCCGAGAGTAACAAATGTTCTTGTGAGCAGTGGCTTTCAGTGCTCAGTACCAGAGGTCTCCCAGCCCTGGCTTGGACAGTTCCCACATAAGGGGGTATGGGGAGGGGAGAAAGAGTTTAGAGGTCGTTTACTGGTTCTTTCTCTCCATGATCATAAAGTAAGGGAACTGGAGGCTCACCACAGTTCTCAGAACTGCATTCACTAGCCCTAGTGCTCACTTGTCTCAGTGAACAAAGCTCAGTGGTCCGAAACCCAGAAACAAGCTTTGCTTGATTCCTGGTTTAAACTTGTGCTTTGCAGTTTAAACCCCTGCAAGACAAAGTTTGACTCCATCCCAGGAGAATGGTGAATATTCCTCGTAAGCTCGCAATCTACAGATAAACTTTGGGCTTCTCCCCTCACATCTGCATGCAGGGATACTCCTTCAAGGCCCGTAAGAGTTATGATGATAGCAGCACTGAGCAATGCATAGTGATGATGAAATGTTCCCTGGCAGGAGAATCAGGCTCTGCACAAACTTGTCCAACAGACTTCCAGTGTTTTTCTCCTGTGTGGTGCTCCCACCAGAATAGCTGCCAGGTGCCCCACCTGTACTGCCTCACCTGCTGGCTGGGGAATGGTGCTCTAGTGACTGGGTAGTGAAGGATGAACTTGAAGGGCTGGATTTGTTCAAGGTCTGGGCTGAGCCCCATGACACCTTTTCCTGACCTCATGTAGCACCTGACATAATGTGCCTTATGTGGGGCCCTGCGAATCTCTGCAACCTCACTGCAAATGGGTCTATCACCTGCAGAAGGGCACCAAGCTTTCAGCTGTGGTCTGATCAGCACGACTGCAACCATACAGAGTAGGAATAGCAGGAGGCACATTCCCTGCTTGAGGACATTTGATAGGGGACCCAGCTGCGCTAGACATCCATTCAACATTACAGCAAAGACCAGCCGTGCTGAGGAGGGCACGAAAGGGAAGACTTGGCTCATGCATCTCGGTGTTTTGTCATTCCTGCTCAGGGCACGCTGTTGCTGGTTCTGAGAATACCAAGTGACATTTGGCTGTGGTAGACCTGTTTTACAATGACGCTTCGTGCAAACCCACAGCACTCAAACTGAAAAGGGGGAGGGCTTGCAAGAAATGAATTCTTCAGGAAGGTATGGCACATGCTTTTCTAAGAATACACTGCATGATAACACATAACACTTGCCAAAGGGGAAAGGCGAAAGGATATATTGCCCTGCCCCATTTATCAAGTATCGAGGAGGTCTGATGAGAATATCAATGTGTACTCAGATCATATTCTTTTTAAGTTACCTTTTTGCAATCCTTTTATAGCAGTCTTTCTTTACCTAGTTGGCTACACTTAATATTTTGGGGGATGCTGCATTTAGAGAAATTTTTATTTTCCCTCCTCTTTTGGGTGGGCAATTTACTGCAGTCAGCTACTGTGTTTTCTTATTACAAGAGTAACCACTGCCCCATTTACAAGGACTAGATAAAGGATTACAAAACTTGGCCCTATGGCAGCGGCGAGGACGACCACACTGTAGAAGTGAAGCGTGTGTATGTGGGTGTATTCAAGGGGAGGGAAAAGCTAGTGATGCTTTTAAGATTTGAGGCCCACTCTTTAATGTAAAAGGTATGTTCTTCTTAGAAGGGGGGAAACTCATGAGTTACTTATAAAGCCTGAGAGTGCCAAATCCCAGAGTTACAGGAACATCTGCCTAGAAATCTTGTAAAAAAAAAGTTCCCTTTGCACCATTTTCTTTTGGCTAAATCTTGCTTTGGACTACATGACTTGTGTCTGTTAGTAAATACAACCAGTGCAGAACACTCCTGGGAAAACCTCTCAGCCTCCAAAGCTGGGTTGTTGCACCCGAACTGCTTAACTGGAGCTGGTACTGGAACATCCTTGCTTTGCATGTGTGGGGTCCTTGGGTTAGAGCACCTGCTGGCTCACCCCTGTGCTGAGGTAACGCTGGCTGCCCTCCTGCCAGCACCCAGAGCTGGTAGCTAACACTTGATCTTGGAATTCAAATACCATACAGCACTCAGGCACAGCTGCTGGCAAACACGTGCAGGTGCAGCCAGGGTATTACTGAAGTCCCGAGCCATTCTTTCCAGAAGGAAGTAGCTTATGGCAAACACCCAGAGCAGTGCCTGCTGCTCTCACAGGCACGTAGCAGCGTTCCTCACATCTCCCTCATTCCTATGGCTGTGACCGATCCAGCAGGATTTACCTTATAAACCCACAGAGCTGCAGTGAAATTCTGGGCACCCAGGTCTACTTTTCCTGAACTCCCTCTTGAGGTCCCCAGTATGCCCATGTTTGCCTTATCCTTTGGAGAGCTCAGTCCTGCTTTAACTCCATCCCATTCACTTGCCATGCCTACCTGTCTCTGGGCTGAACTGCATGCATCTGCCTCTGGAAGATATTCCCCCACTCAAATACAACACCACTGATATTTCTCACAACAATCATTCAATCATCCCTTCCTTCTGCCCTTTCTATCAGAGCAAATCTGTCATTTCCATAGATTTTACTACTGCAGTCTTTGCTTAGGGTCTTCGAGGTCAAAGCCGAGTAAACCTCAAGTGCCTCACCAGACAACTGTGCAGGAATAAATGTCGATTTCCAAGACTAATTCTGTTGCTGTATTCCCTGAGCTGACACAGCTCACAGGCTCAGCCGTATCACAGATCACATGTTTAGTATTTCATTATCTTCACTATACATTAAATATACTATATATGGTGTGCTGAAGAGGCAAAACCCAAACAAAACCACAAAAAAGAATGTACATGGTTGAAGAGAAAGCTGTGAGGAATTCTCCATCCCTGTCTTCACTGTCAGGAGAGTTTTGTGCCAGGTAGTATTTTAGGACATGTTTTCATGTTCTGCTTTACCTGACCTTAGCATCGCCAAGAAAAAGCAGCACCATCCAGGCCATTCTGGCCTCCAGCCATACCACCCCAACCCTTGTGCTGGCACTGGCATTAATTCGGCTGTGGGATGAACTGGAGCAGAAAAAGGTTTTGGCTTACCCAACTGCATGAAGGCTAGTGCTGCTAGAAGGAAAGGAGAGTCACGGGGCTAAGGATTCTGGGGAGCAGGGAATGATCCTGCCCATTTTGGTAGCAGTTGCCCTGCTGTCAGTGAAATCACACCCTCAGGGCAGGGGCCCTTCCTTCTCTGTGTTATGAGATAATTCAGGCATTGTGCAGTGTCTTCTCATTCAAATCACAGTAAGGAATACAGTAAAACCTCACAAGTTTAATGGATTAGATATCAGTTTTGGCCTGCCTGAGGGAAATGCTGAGGCGCGAGGGCAGCAGCCACTTTAGCTTAAGAGATAAGAACTGAGCCTTCGAAGCAGCACACACCTAACCGTTGTACTCACTGTGGGCCAGTCCTCCCTTGGTGGGAAGGCTTAGTACTGCTTTGTGTGAGGCACTCACAACAGGAATTTTTCAGCAGCACAGCAGTGCCTACACGGAACATGTGCCCACATTGTCACAGCAGAGGTGGCCTTGTTGTTGGTAAACAGTGCTGCTCCCTGAGGAGAATTTCCTCTTGGAGGGTGATGATTGCCAATGCAAATTAGAGCTGCCTGCAGCTGCAGAGCACAAGCACGAACTTTTTGTCATGTCTTCACCAGAAGTCAAACCACATGAAATGTGATTTCCCATGAAGACATGTTGAATGTCCGGGCTTCACAACAGCCCTGAAATCAGCACTAACAGCTCAGAAGATAAGGTGCCATCAGCTAAGCCCTTCTCGTGCCTGCTCTGCAAGAGCTGGAGCTCTTGGTGGCACTGGGATTAGAGAACTGATCTGTACTTATTAGACGTAATACCTTGGTGTCTGTCCTCCCTTTCCTGCTAAACGAATGATGGTTGCTGTAGACAGCCACTCTTGTAGAAAACTTCCAGCTGTCAAGGGGGGGGAAATGTCCAGCAATCATGCAAACAGCTATAGTAGGCATTTGCTCAGTTTGGAGTGTACAGACTCTAGCTGTGGCCTTTATGATATTTGCTATTAAAGCAGGTTACTGGACAAAAGCCTTGAAGAAACTGTGGGCAGTTAATAAGGGTAACAAAGTGGATCCCAAGAACAGCACGTGCAGGTTAGCTAAAAATGTAGTTAATCCTCGGACGTGCAAAGCAAATAGATTACCAGGTTAACTGTGCATGTGGCTTCTGTCCATTTTAGTGCAAAGAGGAGGATGGGTGCCCAGCTGAGGCACCCAGAACACCATCCCAGGGCCCCCCTGGCCCTGTGCAGGAGTGAAAAGCGCAAGACAAAGAACGCTTCTTGTGCAAATTGCAAAGAGTGATAGTAAAAGCAAGAGGTGGATGTGACCTCTTCAAGGTCAGCTGAAGGGCCTGGTAGTATATTGATGAATGAATCTGGGGTCCTGCTTCAGAGAGGCTGTTGGGAGGGAGAGACTGTGATTCACTTCAGGAGAGCACTTGCTTCCCACCATGCTTACTCATGCAGCATCAGCAGTCGCAGGGCACAGAGAAAGGGGAAATGAAGAGAACAGGGTGACTGCAAGACGAGGGGGTGATCAAAGCGTCTTCCTTTCTCCCCTCAATTTGAACTTCTGTGTCCTATTTCTGTTGTTTCTCAGT